ACACCCACACCCACACCCACACCCACACCCACACCCACACCCCACCCTAGAAAGGGTTTATTAGCTTTATCAACTCGTAAGCGGTAGATCAAAGGGTAGTTCGGAAGATTGATCAGTTCCATCAACTATAGAAAGGTAGATCGAAGGGTAGTTCAGAAGGTTGATTAGTTACATCAACTATAAAGAGGTTGATCAATGGGTAGTTTATAAGATTGATCAGTCCCATCAACTATAGAAGGGTAGATAAATGAGTACTTCAAAAGGTTGATTAGTTTCATCAACTATAAAGAGGTTGATCAGAGGGTAGTTCAGAAAGTTGATCAATCTCATGAACTACACCGTAAAAAAACGAAAGGATAATAAATTCGTAAAGAGTTTATGAAAGGGTATTTAGAAGGATTTATAGGCACTCCCAACGGCATCAAGAATTCCCTAAAGGCAAGAAAAACGCTTCGGACACGACTACTAACAATTGCAATCACTAGGGGTGCCAGATTAGCATTCGTATTGCATTAGAATAAAGCTAACAGTAATGCTTTTTTGTTGCGATCCCAAGACAAAAGTATTGTAATTTGTATTGACTGATATCATGCTGAAATGGAGCCGGTATCTCTGACCAATTCCAATACGTTTTATGTTACAACGTTAATGCAAAAGCATTTTAGCTGCTACTAAGTTAAGACAATATTGGATTAATTTAATGGGAGCTATAATGCTTTTGCATTGAGATTGTAACACAAAGCCTATTGAACTTAGAGATACCGACTCCGTTTCAGCATAATATCAGTCCATACAAATTGCAATACTTTTGTCTTATGATCCCAACAAAAAAGCATTACTGTTAGCATTACTTTAATGCAATACGGATGCTAATCCAGCACCCCTAGTGCTTGCAATCGTTAGTAGTCGTGTCCGAAGCGTTTTTCTTGCTTTTAGGAAATTCTTGATGCCGTTGGGAGTGCCTGCAAACTCTTCTAAATACCATTTCAAGAATCTTTTTGTGCCTTTGAGGATAATAACAAAAAATGTATTATTCTTACAACTATTATAATGCAACGCTGATGCTAAACCAGCATCCATAGCAAACGCTTATAAACGGCTTCTGACGGCACACAGGAACATAATTAAATCGCTGTAATTACCGACGAAGGTAAGACAGAAAGTTTCCCACCTTCAGAGAAAATACGAGAGAATTCCTGACAGACGCATATGATCCAAGAAACGCTACACGACAATGAAAACCTGCCGCGCTTTAGAATGTTTTTCCGAACAGTACTATGAGAGAAGCGATGTGAAACTAGAACCCCGTTTCATTGCTTTCAGTGACATTTATTCATGACATAACGTGACAATGGCTACATTCGGAAATGACCAAAAAATAATCGAAATTTTAACCAGCTATTTCATTTCTATGCCCTATTTGCAGCTTCCGAACTATTTGGATCCAAAGATGAAGAAGAAAAAGACTTAACCCAAAAATCTCATACTATTTCTCACAACGCATACTAAACAAAGATAAGAATATCTAACTAAGAAAAGAAAAAAGCATGATATGAAAATACTTAGGGCACACCAAAAGTAGTGGCGTCATCATCTTATTTCTTTCGTAGAAAGCTTGGATAGATTTTATCTATTTATTTCATGATAGAGAAAACGACGCTCTATCTTTCTGTACCATTTGAACACTTTTCAACTGATATCATAATAATAAAATTTCGATGAAAGCTGTTTTTCTGTGCATCTTCACTTATATGTGAGGAAGATAATGTGGCCACACTTTGCATTTTTTTTTCATCCCAGTTTTCAATCACTTGATAGGTTTTATTAAAAAAGAAAATATACCACTAGATGCAGCATGAAAAGCTCTACAATTTTTAAAGAACAGCTTATTTTATGTTTCAGACAAGGAATAAGAAATTTTTCTTCGTATAGAAAAAAATGATTTTTTTCGGGATAGTCGAACAGAATTTTACTTTTTTCTGGAAACAAAAGTAAACAATTAAAATAATCGATCTTATACAGATTTTAAGGCTTTTCACGCTACATCTCTTGATGTATTTTGTTTTTTTTTAATAAAAGATATAAGGTGAAAAAACGATGAAAGAAGAAAAATCAATTCATCTTGTAGCAAAAAAAATATCGGTTTTGCAAGGTTGAAAATTAATTGCTCAAAATTTTGCTCATTATGGGAACAAAAACTACAACATTAAAATAAGTTGTCTTGTGTAAATTGTAGAGCTTTTCACGCTGCATCTAGTGGTATATTTTATTTTTTTGATACTAGCTATTAAGTGATTGAAAACTGGAATGCAAAGCGTGGCCATTGAGCCGACATCACAGACTTGGCGAAATTGTACACAAAAACGTTCTTATCGAAATTTCATTATTATGATATCAGTTGAAAAGTGTTCAAATGGCACAGAAAAATAGAGCATCGTTTTCTCTATCATTATATAAAAAAGAAAATCTATTCAACTTTTCTATAAAAGAAATAAGATCATGACGCCGTTACTTTTGGTATTCTCTAGGTATCTCATACTGTTTCTCACAATAGATACTTAATGAAGATTTGGAATCACGAAATGAAGAAGGAAAAGCCGTAAGCTGATTATTTTTTAGACTACATACTTGGGAAGAGATGAAGTGACCACTGCAACAGTTGAAATCCGAAAAACAGAAAAAACAAATAAAGTAACATGTTTCATTGTGTTGTTTTCCATGCTATATTCCATTATTGTTTTAATGTCACACTTTATTCGATGTACCATTCAAACCATTTTTGTGTCAAATCAACAATTAATTTGTGTTTCACGTAATTTTGTTGGCACTAATCTGTTGAGTGAGTGGGTTCAAACGAATAGAAGATAGATAAAAAAGATCTGTCTCGGTGTTTCCGCAAAATCTAAACTTTGTGATGAAATGAATGAATATAGTGAAGAGTTAATATATGTTTAAAGCAAAGAGATAGAGTATTCAGAAGAAGCAAAAATACTTAACTGGAATATTTAATTCTCTTTCTCGTCAAAGATTTTCCACGAGGCTCACACTCTCCAACTGCAGAACAAGCTACAAAGACCTGATCGAAAATCCTGGGTTCTCTTTCTCATGAAAGGAATCTAATTTAGCTTAGAATATCTAACAAAGGAAGAGGGAATAAGACTTAAACGAAAATATTTAATAGTTGTTCTCACAACAGATACTCAATTATGTTCGGAATAAGTAATGGAAGAAGAAGGAAAATGAATTAAACGAAATCATTTTTACCCTTTTTTTTGTCACGAAAGATTCTGAATTATGATCACAATGTCTAACTCAGAAGAAGGAAAAGGCTTACACAAATATATTTGATTCTCTTTCTCACGCAAAATATTCGAAGATCAGACTAACGAACTCAAAGGTGTGGGTGTGGAGTGTGAGCGGGTACGGGTTTGATTCAAGATAAGATCTCTGCACTGACACCCACACCCACACCTTGTAGTCTTATTTTACTGACATTACCTCGTTTAGTCGTTTCATTCTTATCGGGATGTATGAAATCGCCGCGCGATTCGTGGTTTTATTTGATTGGCTATCTCATTTCATGTATTCCATCGATGATGACTTTTATCGTATTTGTTCTTTCATCAGATACTTACAAGAAATAGTTTCGAGAATCAATGAAACGAATTTTCTAATGACCGTACGAATATTGCTTGTTATTTTCGATTACAAAAAGGAATTGTTTTAAATATCACTACGTGATTCATTCACATATAATGAAAATTCCTCACTAGTTTTCTTTTTTATGATCCAATAATTCAAAAACTATCTAATGTTCAAAAGAGTAATATTAAGGTTTACGTTATTTCACATTTGTACATCTCATGAAATTGCTTCTCTGCAAAAGATTACGATCAATGCTTCAAAGAAAAAAGTTACGAAATATACAGAAGAAATATAAGAATAATTTTTTCTGATTGTTTCTTTCTCATACTAGACTACTCAATATATCGTTTATTAGATAATATCTCAAAACTATCCCACTTTTTCATCTATGAGATGTAAAAAAATAAAATAATTTTTCATGTGAATGTGTAGCTTCTATTTAATAAATGTATGTTTTTAAAGATATTCGTCTTTGGAAAGAAATATAGGATTATTTTGTTGTTGAGAAATATGTCTAAAATAGTTCTGTCACGTAGACTAATAATAGGAAATTTAATTTTAACATAAGTAATTGTTGAAAATGTATCGAATCTAGTTTGAAGAAAGTATATTTGTTTTTAATTAAAATATGCGTAAATCATATTGCAACTGATAATTAAAATAGCTTGTTTTCTGATTATATTTCTATACAGAATAATTTGATTTTCTGAATCATCAACTACAAATACCATTACAACATACCTCTCCAACAGTTTTCTTTTTTTTTCGATCTTTAGAATCTATATTAGCACTTTATCACCATTTTCTTAATCTCTTTAACGCTGAGTGGCATTTTAACGAAATAACAAGATACTTCCGATTTGTTAATTATTAGTACGTTCATCGCGCTAGTAATTAATAGAAGAAATTATGAGAAAAAACTGTTAGCAAGTATGGATACGGCTGTGAGTTGGGAGAGAGAGAGAGCCGAAATCAAAACGTACATCCTGCCGAAAATCTCTTAAGTTTCACGATTTGAAAGCTCCAGAAGTTCAAAACTCCTCATGAAATCCCACTGCTATTACTTTCTTTCTTTTATTTATTCATGTTTTAGTGCCTATGAAAATACTTCGTAGTTACTTTGTAAGAATGAATATTGAATCAATTCAAGTAATAAGATTTTATATTACACTTTGTACTTCATATGTTCTACTTATTTTTGGTAATATTGGATGTATATGTAATTGTATGGCATTTACATCGAAACAATTACGTCAAAATTCTTGAGGGTGGTATCTTTTAATGTCAACTGTATTCGATTTTAGTTGTATTAAGTTTGGTCTTTTTACTAAATTAGCAAGTGAACATTATGGTAGCAAATTACAACATACAAATCTTGTTTGGTGTAAAATACGTATATTTCTTACATGGATATTACCATGTTTTTCAACAGGTTATCTTATTTTGGCTTCTATAGATCGATGTTTATCAACATCAAAAAGTCAACGTATTCGTTCATTTAGTCAAATCAAAATAGCACATCAAATGACATGTATTCCAATTATTTTATATAGTTTAATATCTTCTCATTTGTTAGTTTATTTTAATCTTCGAAAACGTTGTTCTCCAACAGCAGGAACCTATGCTTTTTTCTTATCATTATATAGTATTGTTTGGACAAGTTTAATTCCACAAATTAGTATGTTTATATTTAGTTTAATTACATGTTTTAATGTTCAAAAAAGTCATCAACGTCTGATTCATCCAATTATACAAAATCGAAATCGAACTGATTCACAAATGATTAAAATTACATTAGTTCAAGTATTATATAGTTTTATTTTACTTAATATTCGAACAATATGCTTTTCATATTCACTACTTTCAACAAATATTAGAAAAGATAATTATCGTCATGCTGTTGCATCATTAATTTTACAAATATCAAGTTTTATTTTCTATTTCAATTTTAGTAAAAGTTTCTATATAAACACATTATCAAGCTACCTTTTTTCATAAAGTTTTTAAAGACCGTTTAACTATTTTCTATTGACGAATAATATTCTGGAAGTTTTCAGTGCAATCTAACTGTAAAATACGTTTAGATTGTACAATATTGACATCAGTGATTTGTCCACAAGAAAATTTATTTGTAAACGTTGACTTCATAATATGGTACACATAATAGAAGAAAAACAACTATCTATAAACTAATATATGAAATTATGTTGTAATGTATTTGGTTTTTGAATAAAGTTCTTTATTTCTCAGCAAAATGTATTTTGAATCGATTAGAAACATACTTGATGTAGGTCATGTCAAGAAAAATGGGACGTACAGACCTTAGGTGTGGATGAGTCAATTACCAGCCAATGTACAGAAATCAAATTATTTCGTGAACGAATCTTTTTTATTCTGAAAACTTGAATTTATTTTGTAACAAAGTAGATAAAATAAACATTATTTGAGTAATTGTCAAGCAAGTATTTCGAAAAAGAAAAAAGCTACAGAAAATTATTTAAAAGTCGATTATTCAGTCATCAGCTCTTAGTCAAATTGTTCTTTTATCATTCAATGCATTATTGACTGTTCTTTCCTTAATAACAACTCATTTTTTGATGAGATGAAAATACGACATGACAACGAAATGAAGAGATGTATTGATCATTATTGGCACTTGCACTTTGAAATTTTTTCATGATTCCATGAATGTCACAAGACTAGTAACAATGATAACATCGATCGATGGTAACATGTGAAGGACAGCGTCGAATACAATGAAAGGATATATTTTCAAGTACTTGAGATATATTGAGCTATCATATAATTACTTCTTGTTTTATTGTTTTTACCTCTTTCTTGCAGAGTTCGGTTTAAACTGACCTAGACCAAGAAGTTGCATCGTGTGATTGAATACGGTACGTGGTTAGCATGAACCGAAAGATCGTGCTATAATGCAATTGATATGAATTGATGATTCACCTTCTTTCTTGTCTCTTTTATTTTCATTTTAAGTATTTTTCCATAAGTATCGGCACTATAGAACGTTCTTTGTAACATATCATTAAAGATGTGAGCAATACCATTTAGACATATTATCATCCGTCAAGATTGTGATAAAATTGCTATCTTGATCTAATACAAAAATACTACAATAAATTTTAATGTTGAATCCAAAACGTTTGAGAGCAGCTTTGATCGTCTATTAAACGAGATTTAGATACATGAATATATACATAGATCTGATGATAATCTCGATAGGATGCAAAACTCTCGATAATAGTATTTTTATTGTTGTTAACTTCGTCGCTAATAAATTGAATTGAGATTAACATGATAATGGATTGAAGTATATCGATTTCCTATTATCAACAACTGTGTATTTGTGTGCTTTTTCTTTTAGAAACATTTTAATGTGTATGTTTGATACTTATGGTGACCGTAAGGACGTTGTATAAATAATATTCATACAGCTGAAGTTAAATGTGTGTTATTTGGTGTAGATACTGGCAGTGGAGTAGCTAATCTTTTAGACAACACAATTACATGGCAATCAAATGGTGCTGATGACAGGTAACCAATAAAGGGTGCGATAAAGGGCAGTGCAAAGCGAAATGATGAGACCACGAACAAAAGGAAAGGCGAAGAGAAAGATAACACTATAAATTGAAGAGATTCGAGCATGAGCACAGTGAGATCGTGTAATACGGAGGAAACGGAGGACAAAGTGGTCAGTATACATTTAAAAATGAGAGAAGAGTATGGTACAAAAAAGAAAGAGGAAAGAGAGCTACACATAGTAAAAAGTGTAAGTTTTGTTATTTTGTGTACGACAATTCAGTTTTATCAAATAACACTGACTTTTTAAAAGTAGGAGAATAAAATAAAGACAACAAACAGAGAAAACAAGAACATATAGAATAGCAACAATAGAAAAAAGTCACTAGCATATATGAAAAGAAAGGACAAATCCATGTATGCATGAGATAGCCTAATGAACAATATATTATAATTGATAGGGGTGAAAACACAGTATGTGACGTATTCACAGATATTGGACAAATTCTGAACAAAAAGCTTGTCAGCATACTCTCTTCGGGACTAAAATATGAAACTCACATATTCTATGTAAACTAGAACACAACCTAGTATAACCGGTTACGAAAGGAAAAATAGTCCGGAGGAGTGCATGTCCGTTTCTGACAACTATCAAATGGCAGCAAGAGAGAAAACAACGTTCATAAAAAGAAAAGTACAAGAAGTGATGATATAGCTAACCGAAAGTGAAGATCATCACAATCTGTTTAAATCAATGAATATTTATTTAAAAAAGTTTATGAAAAATCAGCCTGATCGAAACCATTGATAATTACAAGCAAAAACAAACACTTATGTGTATTAAAGAATATTATGAGGATAGACACACTCAGATAAAACTAAAGAGATTTCAAGTAAAGAAAACTTTTCTAAAATTTTTAAAAAAAGTACACTGTCTTGAATGAGAATAAGATGTATTTCTAGACAAAACTGAAATTTGCGTTTGATTCAAAGCTATAAGCGAAGATATCTATTTGTCTTTATGGAACAGTAAATATCATATTCATTTATACGTGCGTTTCTTCGATAATTTGCTCTTCAGTTACTCTCTGTGCGATATTTGAAGATGCACGACAACACAGACCTAACAGTTTTATCTTAATCCATTTTACTGTTTCTATTTCACGAAATAGATTCATATAAACATTTGAAGGATATATATAGATAAAGAATATCAAGACTAAAGGCACACATAATAGAAAGTCAAGAGCAATATGTAAACGCAAATAAAATTTGTGAATACTTTTCTCTATACAATCTGTTTCAGCAATTTTTAATAGTAACTGTTCTGGAAGCGTACAAATAATAATAACTAGTGGTAGTATAAAGAAATCTTTGTGCTTTAAAATCTGCTGAATTATTAGTGAATGCCATGAGTCTCTTTCTAAGTCAGTTAAAATGATTTTATGACGAATAATATGTATTAATGTGAGGACAATTGATAACAAACTTAATAACAATGGTATAACAAAGCGCAAACAGATATTCTCCATAATTTGATAAACTTTTTAAAAATTTCTATTTGAAAAGGGATGAATTAAACAGACGTAGGATATTGTTGAAAGTGAAGGACTTTTCCTAATAGTAAATACAAGAGTGATTATTACACTTCTTGAACTAAGAAATAGGAATAGAATAATTCAGGATATTAGAAAAAGTTCAAAGTACACTATTAAGTGGATGATAGTGTGAGCTTTATGCGCACTGCCTATTGGTTTGGAATAGATAAATAGTTGACTCTCCTGTCATCGACGGTGAAAATACATGCCAATCTCGCAACCCAGTCGAATATGTTGATGGGTAGCAGACAAAGCCGTATCACCGCTCAGTGATCGAAGTCTGTCACAGAAAAGCACTTTTAAATATGTAAATATCACACTAGACTCATGTGTATCAAGAAAATTGTATTATGGATTACCCCAATTTCGGCTCATAGAATTTTCCGCACCACTCTAAACTGACCTTATTGACTGCTAGAAGAAACCTCTTTTTTTAAAATAGTTGCTAGATATCGAACTTCTGAGCAGGGCTACATAGGGTGACCACGAGCAAGGATCAAAAATAGATCAGCGTTCATACTTTCACGCCCCCATCATGTCGTTCTGCTCGGCACTACGATATCCGACAGCTAATTAAAAAACTTAGCTCTTTACGGAATCAATGAGGTCAGTTTAAGGAAGCGTTGAAACTCTGAACCAAAAACAATGTAGGCCAAGATCCTGGTCTTCGATTGTAACAATATACACACTCAGATGAACACAAATAGATTGAAAGTAGAGAAAATGTTAGGTAAACTTAAAAAAAACTATTGTCTTGACTAAGAGTAAGATTTATTTCGACACAAAACCTGTAAATGACTTCAATTCAAAGATGTAAGCAGAGATATCTATTTATCTTTACAGGAAAGTAGATACTATACTCATTTATACATCTATTTCTTCGATAATTTGCTTCTCAGTTACTCCTTGTACGACATTTAAGGATGCACGACGGCAAATACTCAAAATTTTTCGCTTAATCCATTTAAAAATTTCTTTTTCACGAAATAGATTCATATACACACTTGAAGGATAAATATAGATAAAGAATGTCAAGACTAAAGGCATATATAATAGAAAGTCCAGAACAATATGTAAACGCAGATAAAATTTTTGCATACTTTTCTCTATACAATATGTTTCGGCAATTCTTAACAGTATTTTTTCTGGAAGTGTACAAATAATAATAACTAGTGATGGTATAAAGAAATCTTTGTGCTTCAAAATTTGTTGAATTATTAGTGAATGCCATGAGTTTCTTTCTAAGTCAGTTAAAATGATTTTACGACGAATAATATGCGCTAATATCAGGACAACTGATAAAAAATTTAATAACAACGGTGTAACAATGCGTGCATAGAAGCTACCCACCACGTTATGAGCTGTTTTTAAATGATCATTTGAAAAATGATGAAATGAACAGACGTAGGATGTTGTTGAAAGTACAGGACTTTTCCCAACAGTACGTCCAAGAGCGTCTATTGCACTTTCTGAACAGGTATATACAAATAGAATGATTAAAAAAAGAACTGAATACTTTCGTGTACGATAAAGACTATAATCAAAAAATTCAATTAATACACGCTCAACAGCTATAAATGCACTAAGCCATAGACATATGTGGTACATTAGATTCATAAATGCTGGCATGAGTGTACAATATATGAGTGGATGGTTCTGTAGTTCATTATTGTAAAATAATGTTACAATTGCATTAATTTCTAAGAACGCTACACCGATAAAACTAAAAATCGAATAAAGTACTATATACAGGCCACACACTGTAATACGTATTTTTTGTATAGAACATGTTAAAAGAGTTAATAAATTATTAATAAACGATGACACTGTTAGAAGGGAGTGCATGAAAATAAAAAGAATCTTTAATGCGATTCTAGTAGAAGCTAATTCTTCCAAAAGAGTATTAATTAACATCGATGATGACATGAAATACAGTACATAGTGATAAATATTTTCACAAAATTCACCTTCTGTACAATCAGTACAGACACAGGAATAGTTTAATGTTTGATTATTCATCATACACTGTCCATTATTTAAGCATTTACATTCACTCATTGTGAGATGTTCATTAGCGTGTGATTGAAATTTTTAGATTGTCCTCTCAGTTCAGTCGCTTTTGCACATTGAAATATATTGAATTCGAAACTGTGATCGGTCTGCTATTTTCTTTTGTTTCTAGAAAGTTTTCAGAAACTTACTACACTATCAAAATGGCTCTTTTCATAGTGTCTATAATAACTTTATCAAACAAAGGTGAGGAATTTAAAAAAAAACGTCTTATTTTCAAATTTTTATTAAAGATATGGTGCTATCGTCTTTAAAAAATTTTCTTCAAAGTCGATCGATTGTTTTGTGTCTAATATTACTGAAGTTCTTTCTATGTCATTTATTTAGAAAATTTATAACTTCTAAAATACGATGCTCATAGTCAGAGGAAATAGAGCAAAGATTTCTTCAGGATTCTATATATTTTCGAGTTTAGTCATAGTCATACTCTCTAGAAAAACACCTATCCTCGGAAACCCTTAAAAGGTTTCCGACTTTGTTACTATCTAAAATCCTATAAGACTTTCTAAACAAGGGTTTCTGAGCTCTCGGAAATGCGGAAAAGTCAGTAGTAGTAATGTTTGAGATTCCGATCTCGAAAACAGATTAAAGGTTTCTGAGCTCACAAAAACCTTTAACACAATACGCCAACTGAAACTCTAAAGTCGACTACACAGATCTCAACACTTTGAAAGACGTAATAGAAACTTTATCGAAGATATCGAAAGCGATCTATTTAGAACAACGGGAAGAGAACAACTAAAATGAAGATGGAAGTAATCAATGTTTTCTCATATCAATTAATATTTTAGTTTTATCGATATGAACCTCAAACTAAAAAGAAATAAAATACTCCTGTGCTATTTGTTATTAATAACTTATCATTTGTTTCATATTGATATGGGCCTTAAAATAAAATAAAAAAGAAAATATTAGTTTTGCATTCATTCTATGTAGCTTACCATTTCTATCATAATATCGATTGGAATGTAAAAATAAAAAAATTAATGAAACAGTAATTTTCTATTTGTCATGCGTAACTCACCGTTTCTATCATATTCATATCAAACTAAAAATAAAGAATAAAATATTCTTTTTCTATTTGTTATATATAACTTACCACTTGTACAGCTTATCGATATGGGCCTAAATATAAAAAAAGATTAGTTAGCTTCTATTTGTAATATACAGGGTGTGTAAAAATGTTTTTTCCAGTGGGATAACGCTGTAGTTTTAAACAGAATCAATAACAAATTTTATATCAAATGTAAGCGTGTCAAAAATGGGATTTATCAGTATTAAATTTTAAGGGCTCTGTCAATTTTAGGTATGGGTTTAGTGCATCAAATTCAATAACCACAGACTACACTCA